GAGAGGCAGACAAATTCTCCTTCCAAGGCCTGGGCAAGATTTATAGCAAGTTTCAGCACAAAGAACCATGGAATAGATCCTATAACATACACCCATAGTGTCCACAGCAAGTTTGTCTCAGGATGGTTGGTCTTTAGAGGGGAGTTCACAGTGACAGGTCACTTGGCTTTCTTGCAGCTGATGCTGTGATTTATTTTGTGGGAATATAATAAACAGGAATAGCTGCCCCCATGCATTTCCCATAACATCACAGGAACTGTATTTACAAAATGAACAGAGCTGCATAAATACAACAAAGATCAAACTTCTCAGGTGTTAAAATAAACTACTTCCAGGGAAGAGAAAGAGAAATGGTCAGAATGGTTATAGTAAGGCCCCATGGTGTAACCATCTCTATGGCTTGACTAAACCACCCCTTTTCCTGCCTTGCAAACAGACTCAAACACCTAATCCTGCCAGTCAAGTTAAAGCAGTAGAAACCCAAACAATTTCACAATGCAGTATCAGACCAGAGCTCAGGACACTGCATTTCTGCAACAGTAACATCTGCCTCCAAAACAATTTTTCCCCTTTTTTTTTTTCCACATGGGATAACAACCGCTACAGACCACACCCAGTGGCAAAATCCAACAGAAAAATCCATCTGCCTGAAGCCACTTCACACTTGCTTTCCATAAGAAAAAAGCAAGTAATTTGATAGAAATTAAATCTCCCACTTTTCTGGAGGTTTCAACCAAAATGACCACAACGGCTTGACTCATTTCAAAAACAAAGGGTAGCTCACTGCTACAGCCGATAGCCATCTCACTGTCCTTGCCCACCTACTGAGGTTATACAGTAACCACTACTCCGAGACAAAACTTCTCTCTGCGGTACTTCATCACTAGTGCCCCTTTTCATGGAAACATCGGGTAGTGGCGTATTGGCATTATGGAACTATCATCTATTGGCACTATGAACTGTGAAATATTGGCCTAGGGACCACCCAACTGTACAGGCTCCAGCTGCTGAGGCACCTTCTGCCCCTTTCTGCACCATGTTCCCAACAGCCACTTCTAGCTGGGATCATCTGTATGTTCTTTCCCTCCCCTAGCTACAAGAGGAGGTTACGCCATGTCCTCCTCTTTTATGTTCTCACTGTCAATGCTCACCTCCACTCAAGTGCTTCAAGAAGCAAACTTACATCTTCTTTGGATTCTCTGCTAGCACGAGTCTCCTCTTCTGTAAGACACCGAGCCACGACACATGACATGCTGCACCGCACACTACCCACACTGCTCTTCTCCTCTTTTCTTTATCACCTACAAAGACCTGTAAGAAGCGCCACTACTTTCTCTGACTGTACCAGATGGCAAGGCACAGCAATGGCAATCTTAGCACAGCATTTAGGTGAAGTACAGAATTGCCTCATAGTGTTAACATCTTCTTGTTCCCCCCCAACACGCCCATCCCACCATCACTACTTAAAAAAAGACCATTGTCTGTCATTGCCTTGTTTTCCATATCTGGAACATTAATTTCTCCATACCTTCTCATTCTCCTCACTTCCTCACTCTCCTCCTTTTTTTCTTACTAATATAAGAAATGGAGACTCCGAAAACTAGAGACCCCATTCCTGGGTTTCATTCTCCTAAAATGTGTGTAAGCTATCCTACGTATATACACATGCACATATACATATATGTATATCTGTATGTATATACCTATAGCTTTCTTCCATTCTTATGCTTTAATCCAGAATTAAGGATTCTGTACTGATCCTGACACCAAGATGGTAGAAGTTCACAAATTATTAAAAATAATGAGATAACCTGTTCATAAAATACAGGACTTGAAAAAGGACACAGTCTTCAGTCCCAGAAATATACTGAAAGATGCAACATCAGCAGCTCTTTTAAACTGAAAAGGTTAAATTTGAAGCATCATTATTTCTTGAGAGCATTATTTTGAAGAATTCACTGTTGAGGAAAGTATTGAGTTTTATGTTCAGCTAGATTTCTTAAATTTAGATTTCTCTACAGCTAGATTTCTTAAATTAAGCTCATTTCCTTACCCCCATTCTTCCACCCCCAGAAACATCAGCTCATTATTTTAAAAATGCACAATGAGTGAGAAAGAGGCAATTTAAGATGAGGCACTGTAGAAATTGACTGTGATGGGTGTACAAAGAATGAAGCAGTACATGACTTCCCTGTTCTTTTACTTTTCCTTAAGCATCTGCTTTTGGCTACTTTTCTGATTTCTCCTTGATGCTTGACCCTAACGAAACCTCAAAGACCTCCTCAGGAAGTGGGGAGCTACAGGAAAACAAAGTCACAAAGAAAAGAAAGTGTTTCCAGTGCCTCCTACCTGGCTTTGGATAACCTTCATGCTCCAGTGCTACTAAAAGCACCTCATTTGTTGAGAAATACAGCTTTAGACTTTCTGGTTATCATTAACAGCTGCTTCTACACAACATTGGATTTCCCATTAAATTTAGAAAAATCACAAGTTCCTTGCTAGGAATCAGTTCTTTCCCCAGGCAAGACACAGGTTACCTGCAGGAGGGAACCAGTGCTTGTCATGAATATTTGTGGTGTCTGTAGTAAGCCATTCTTCAACCCTGCAATGCCTGTGGATTAAATTACATCTGCCAAAAATGTCTACCAAATTTCTATTAGCATCATATTATTCCTAATTAGCATAACTGTTGCAAATGTATATAATAAAACATATATCTAACTTGACTTGGTCTTCTGCAAGGCATGCTCCCTGACTGAAATATTCAGTACTAAAAAAAGACCACAGTATCATGAATGTAGGAAATGAATGGTCAGGATACCTGGGTGGAAACCAAGGATAGATTCCTAGAGAAAGTAATTCTAGATTAATATACTGAATAGGGTTTTTTTTCTCTTCATGATTCACAAAGAAATATAGAATTATTCAGGTTGGAATTACCTTAGAAGGTCACCCAGTACTCACAGCAGGCTTAACACTGAATCCAGACCAGGTTGCTCAGGGCTTTATCCAGTTGGGTCTTGAAAACCTCCTAGTATGGAAATTCATAACCTTATGGGCTACCAGCTCCACTGCTTAATTACCCTGATAGTGAAAATGTTTTCCTTGTATGACATTGACACTGATGCTAATTTATATATTGTATAAAGTTGAAATCTCCCATTTCAATCTGTTGTTGTCTTTTGTTCTCCCAGTATATGCCACTGTAAAGAGCATGGCTCCATCTTCTCAGTAACCTCCTTATAGGTGTTGGATAGCTGCTGTTACGTCCCTCCAGCACATCTCTTCTCCAGGCTGAACAAGCCCTGCTGCCTCAACCTCTCCTTGCAGCACCAGTGCTCCAAGCTCTGACCATCCTGATGTCCTTTCACTGAACTCACTCGAGTTCAGTGATGTCTTGGGCAAGTCCAAAACTGGACACAGCATTGCAGGTATGGTCTAAGGCATGCTGCGTAAGGGAGAATAATCACTTCCCTCAACCTTCTGGCTGCTCTCCTGTTGATGCAGTCCAGTCTGCTGATAGCCTTCATTGTTTTATGCTGATCAAGGCTGAGGGCGTAGTTCACTCTTGGTTTCTTATTCAGTCCTTGTCCCATTTGCTGACCCTGTCAGCACAGGTGCAAAGTAACACTGAAGAGCTGAATGAGCAAAGCAGAAGTGCAAGATTTTCTGCCCCATTTTGCAGAAATTCATATAAATGGAAGATCAACTGCCCTGTCAGGATATTGCTTCCTCAAATCACGTAAAATCATATAAACAGCCTGTTAGGGTAGCAGAACTGCAATGACAATGTGAGTCTTCCATAGTCTTAGGCTGTTTCTCTATATATCTGAGCTATAGATAACAAACCATCCAAGCAAAGTCACCAGTTCTGCTACATCTTTTCTACAGTGCTCTAGTTGTTATTCTTTTTGCATCAGAAATTGTTCATCCCAGAAAAAGGGTGTGGGATTTTCTGGATGATTTTCAGTGCAAAGATGTGGCCAGACATAGCATTATACAGTCAGAGTTTACCAGCTACAGTGTACACTTGTAACCAGGGCACAAATAAAAGGGAGCTGCAAGAAGAGGCTCTATTTCAATGGGAAAGCACGGTTTTCCACCGAAAATGTGACAAGCCAACAGTGCAACATGAAACACAAGATATTCTCAGTCCTCATTCAGTTTACAAGTATAATACCAAACCTCCTCTATCTAACACGCCAACACAGTAATGAAACTAAGATAAAGAGATGAGCAAGCCTACTTCATCCAAGATGTTCAAGTACCAATATACACATACTGCATGTCTCTTTGCTTCAATAAAAATACTTGCAGAATCTATCACTAAGTTTTTTCACTAAAGTTTAAAGAGGAAGAAGCATTAGGATTTTATCCAGTATACCCAGAAAAGGCTTCAGTTTTTAAGGGTACTGTAGAAGTGGGATTTGAATCTCTGAATCGCATGTGAATGCACTGCCAACCCCATGGAACCCAGAATTTTCCACACTTTTTGCTGGTGGGAACTGATGCTTGTGAGTGTGTAGCCTGTCTGCTATGATTGCCTGAAGAAAGCAGCCTTTGACTTATGAGCCATAAGAAAACATATTAAGAATATACACCACAGCATATTGTTTTACCCACCATAGCTGTATCTAAACACTTAGAAAGCATCTCTCTATGAACACTTTACAAGGAAAATTTTGAACACTTTTGAACACTCTATGAACACTTCTGTATTTTCCTATATTCAAGGAAAATATATTCACCTTCTGTGAAAAGGGGTTCTTGCACAATTTTACAGCTGATGTATATATTTTTCATCAAACCCTGTCGGCATTCATAGTTCTCTACTGGGATTAGTAGCATATAATTTGAGCAGGAATAGTGAGAAGAAATACCCAGTGTTTTTAAAAATCACAAGCGGCGCTTGATTATAATATTTGCAGCTCTTCCATCTAAGTAACCACACAGATTGCACATACTCCCACAGAGATGGAAATTAATAATATGTGAAATACCTGTGCAGCTTGAGCGTCACAGTTCCATAAACAGTAGCAAAGCCCAGAAGACGAACCCATCTTAGGAGAACACAGCGAAATACACTTGGCTCAAAATACAAAATGACAACCTATAGAACAGAAAGATAGAGAGAGCTTCAGTACTGCTTTAATGTGAAAGTAGTTCTTCATTCAAATGCAGAATAGTTGCAAAACAGGACAGCAGACATATTTCAGCTTGTACTGCTGTATATTTAGATTTTCTAGTAAAGTGATGGGATGATCAGATCAACCAGCTGGCACAGTTCTAGGCACCAACTCCTTTTGAAGGGAGCTGGCAAAAGCCCTGTGACAGACTGTGAAGTGACAACACTTTTAAATGCAATTCCACTGACTTTTCTTAACCAAGTGAAAACATGTACCCAGAGAAGAGGATAGAAGAGACAAGGACATTTTCCTTGAGCTATTTCAGTAATATGCAGCTGGCCTAATTCTGGTTTGATGGACTGTATTTACTAGGTTACACTTCAAAGTCACTCCTTCTAATAAACCTAGCAAAATGATAGCTGCTCATTTTTTTCTGCCAACTATTCTGCTGCACTAAAAATGATTGCACTGTCCAAAACCCCAAAATCTTGATGTCATATTTCACTCTTTCTTATTCTTCTCCATATATTTTCCCTAAGCTATACCAAATCTCCCTATAGATCACCACTGTCTTAACAAAAATAACCTTTTTGTTCACGTATGGATTTCTCTAATCACAACAACAGAAAGGTCCTACTGGCCTTTTGCTCTATCTACCAAGTACCACGCATGAGGACAACACTCAATAAACAGTAACATAAAGCTACTTCTGCAGGTATAGTGCGTATAAAAGCATCACTACCAAGTAAAATGCCACCCTTATCTAAAACAGGGCTGCTCAAATGGTGGGCTCAGTCATGATCTGAACCAGGAGTCCATTTCTTCTCATTTCAACAGACATTGTCCCTGGTGTCCTGAGGGATGACCCCATATTCTTTCCTACTCGTCCGTCCCTGCCAGGAGCCTGCTGTCCCAGGGATTTGGCTGTACACTGCCTTCATCCTACCTGCAGACCCTGCTTGGTCCAGCAAAGCTAGATCCAGTGCATCCCACCCATCTGACCAGAACCTGATGAAAGCCCCAATGCACCGTAGCACAAATTAATTGGGTAATCCTGGTCTAGAGAAGGAAAGCACTGAAACATTTCAGGCCATCTGCCACAGCTTCATTTAGAGTCAGTGCATTCTGGCAGTTGAGGTAGTATTGTGCCTACCGGCTGCCACATGATATTATTTTCCCAAGTAAATGCTTTTCTGTGTGGGAATTCAAGCCCAGGATATTGGCCAAAAGCCCAGGACTACGTCCTTTGGGTGACATAGACATATTTAGGAGAGTGGGGGCAAAAATGGCAGACATGTGGGCTGAGAGAGATAGAAGAAACTGCTGTGCTTCGCTGGCATGTTTTTTTTACAGCAGAATCAAGCTATTTCTTCAAAAAACATGGTTTGTTGAATCAAACCATGGTGCAAAATTTAATCTGCTTTTTTCACTGTTATTGGACTGACATGTTTCAAGGTAGACATTTTCTGGGAATCTGACAAATTCTGCATGTAAGGAAGGGAACAGCGTGCAGCAAAAGGCCCACTTGTCCTTGGAAAATCAGCTGGAAAACCGAAATGCATCCACACACATATGAACATGCTTGGTAAATAGAGCATCCAGCAAGATGCTTCTCAGAAAGGACTGAATGACTGTAATGACCTCTTATCCTAATACACAGTTATAGACATTAGGACAGTTGCAGAACCAGAGCAAAGTCTGTAGCAGTAACCTGCCTCCTGAGGTTTGCCAGGGGGTAGAAAACCCTCTGTTTCATCTTCAATTCTTCCAAACTAGAAAAACAATGTAAAAAAAAGACTGGCATACAAAGACTCTGAACGTTTCAAAGTTGATCTGAAAGCAGAATTTTTCAGATGATTGAAATGGGAAGGTCTGAAAACTTTCCAGGCACAGAATTTTCTGAACAAGGGCAATAGCTCTCTTTGCCACGCAATCTGACACAGCAATTTTATCTGCAGTTGCTTGTTGAAATATTAACTGCTTGTGTCCAGAAAATCTCATTGATTTGCATTGAACCATTTGTATGAGCAGCTGAGGCATTTGGCTAGTTATCAACCAAGAAAACACCACTTCAAATGCAGCATGGTGTGAGCTGGCACGTGGCAGCTCACCATGAAGGCTGCAGAGGCAAGGCTCTGTTGGTGAAAACGATTCTCATTTTCCCATTTGAATGTAGACACATTTTAACTACTCCTTTGCCCAGTGGTCAAGTACATTGCGGAAGTAAGACTTGATCCAAGTTTGATTCCCTTTTAGGTCTTCCTGCGTTTATATGATGGAGAATAGTTACAATGTCCTCCCAAGGGCCAACATCCATTTCTACCTATTCTTCTGTAACTTGCATGAGGTCTGGCATGGACCAAGGCTTTGAACAGCAAGAATTGCTATACTTATGTTTTGCTTGCTTCTTAGGCTTTCCAGAAGGTTATTCTAAGAACATATCATTCCCATTCCCATCAGGGCTCACTGGGATGTTCAGGTGACTGCCCTCTCTAAGCCCTTGTCAGTATTAAGTCTCTTATAAGCACAGTGAATTTTAGTGGCACAATTTTTAAATTGAATAATCTTTAATGGATTGGAGCCAAGGGGCTACAGAAACACTGCCCTGGAAGCTCAGCAGACCAAAAGCCGTGCTCAAGTTTTTCATCTTAGTGGAACTGCATTCTTGCAAAGAATATGCATCTAGCGAAAAGTATGGCTGCTGCACTCCATCTGTCACTCTCCCTAGCTGAAAAACAAACAAAAAAAGAAACATAACACAGAGAAGTCTTGGTTTTGTTTCATATCAGCCTCTTCTACCTTCTGGTTACCAGAACCCCCATTTCCTACTGTCATCCCCAGAGATAAGGCTTCCTTAAAGTGACAAAAAATATGCAGCAAAGGGTTGCTGAGCTCCAAGCTAGGAGCGTAGGATGAGCACAGCATTCACCCACATACCCAGGCTGCTCTCAGCAGAACAAGGGAATCCCTCTGCAGTTCTAAAAGACTAATCTGCCCACCAAAAATTTGACAGTAATTCATTTTCCCTTTTTGCTTTTATAATGCATTAGACCATAACAGCAGCATAAATCTCATTAAAAATGCTTAGAGGTTTTGCTGATGGATGTCACTGTATGTAAGGAAATGTGATATCCCCTGTTTTGCCAGCTCCTGAAATCCATTTAAATACTAGACATCAGTTTCTGTTCCTTAAACAACAAAAGTCCGGGGAAAAAATATTTGGAAACCAGAAGAACAGAAGTCAAACAGTACCTGTTCATATACCAGTTACTGCAGCTGTGCGTGAGACTTCATAAACTATGGCTCATCTTTGTCATTTGGACAAATGCATTTAGATGTTTGCTTTTAACCTCGACGTGTTTTAAGCTATTATTACCCTTTCCAAAACATTGTCCCACTAGTCACGCTACCACTTGTGGAGTCAGAGATGAAAAGACTTTCTAAGGTCACCAGCTAACTGTCAAGTATGTTTAGAGCTGGAGAATTACGGACATGGAAGAGAGACTTAGCTTGCTGACACAGCGATCAGCCAGCTCAGTTTTTCAGCTGACATGATGAACAGACACACACGCTCTCTAAAGACAACGGCTAAAGTCGATACAGGCACCTCGCCCACTACAGCAAATTTTTATTACCAGGACAGGTAGGACAGTAAAGTGCAAAGAGAACTAACATTGAACAATTTAATGTTCAAAAGCATAACAGACATTGTCTTCACAAAAAATGAGCAAATAATGAGTTTTATAGCCTCAGTGCCATTGCTTCTTAAAAGATACACAGCGTTTAGAAAGATTCTTTAAAAGAAAAAAAAAACCAAAACCCACCACTCTGTCAGAGCTCTATAATGTTCATAGTTAGCAATACTTCCATGCAGCGCAAAATATTCTTTTGTTTTTCAGATTAACTCTACTGTGCACATTATAAGATGATTAACTTTGCCCTTCACCTTGGGCACCAGGTCCGGGTGAAAGCATTTTAATTAATACTGTGCAGTTCCCCAGGGTGCATTGAATGGGATTCAGTCTGCCTAAATCAGGGATGTAATTTTTACCTACATTGTAGGGATCTGGTAGATGAGCCCTACTAATGCGAGTTCCATAGATAACCCACAGATAAAGGCAGGTACCTTGAATAAACTTGAAGAAGTTCAGGACTTCAGCCACTTGGACAGAATCTTGGCCTCTTTCAGTCTTTAAATACACATCTCCACCAACTAGAAAGGTACTACAGCATTTATTTTAGGGAATTTGCTTCACTATATGTCAATTAATAATCTGCATTAGGAGGACTAAGCCAAACACTCTGTAGCCAGCTGTAACAATTTTGTAATGTATTTAAGACAAGTTGCTTTTTACTTCAATTCTTAAGCCATAAAAGTCACATGAATAGATCAAAACTTCCTTTTTAATCATCAAATTTCTATACTCCACATTGAGAGGGAATGGGCAGTGCTATAATGTCTCAAAAGATCAGAAGTCAAAGAACAAATTTTAAAAAATACATGGAATTGTCACTGCTACAAATCCTAAACCTAAACATGAAAAATTCTGAGCAGGACCTTAACTCAAAAAGCCCCAAAGTGTTCACTTTTGAACCCTGCTTATTTTTGTCCTCAGTTGTAGAATCATAGAAAGGTTTGGGTTGGAAGGGACCTTTAAAGATCATCTAGTTCCTAGTGCCATGAGCAGGGATGTTATCCATGTTAGATACATGGAAATGAGATACAGAGCTTAGAATTTTGAGCGTCAGCATCATCTGGTTATGGATCCAAGGTGAAAGTCACCTACTTTAGATAAAAGCGATGCAAAAGTATTTATTTTTTTTCTCATTTTCTAATAACCAAATTTCTCTTAAAATTGTGCCCAGTTAACCCAAAAAGCTTTACAGGAAAACTACCTACTTTTTTTTATTTAACTTCAGAATTTGCTGAAAGTACTCTGCACAGTTCAGTGCAGGACATGATGCAGCCATTTAAGATAATGCC